TTGGCCGTTAAGGCGTATTTTCAAAATACCTATATCTACAGCTGTGGCAATAGGTGTGTGATTGGGTAATATTCCAATTTGCCCACTATTAGTGGATAAAATGATTTCTTCCACTTCTGAATCCCAAACAATTCTATTAGGGGTCAGTACACAAAGTTTTAAATTCATTTATTCAAATCCTTCCCTATTTTTAAATTTCTAAGTTTTTAAGTTAATTGCCTTGGCGGTAACTTCATTGATATTCCCTACCAAATAAAAAGCCTGTTCAGGAAGACCATCTAATTCGCCAGCAAGGATTAAATGAAATCCTCTAATCGTTTCAGCGAGACCTACATATTTACCTGGAGAACCTGTAAATATTTCTGCTACGAAAAAAGGTTGTGATAAGAAACGCTCAATTTTTCGTGCTCTTGCCACGTTTAAACGATCTTCTTCGGATAATTCGTCGAGCCCAAGGATAGCTATAATGTCCTGAAGTTCTTTATAACGTTGTAAAGTTTGCTTGACTCTTTGCGCAGTTTCATAATGTTCCTCACCAATGATCCGAGGTTGCAGCATCATTGACGTTGAATCCAAAGGATCAACTGCTGGATAGATACCTTTAGCAGCTAAACCTCTTGAGAGTACGGTAGTTGCATCTAAATGTGCAAATGTCGTAGCAGGAGCAGGATCAGTCAAATCATCTGCAGGTACATAAACTGCTTGGATCGAGGTTATGGAACCCTCTTTGGTGGAAGTAATTCTTTCTTGTAAAGAACCCATTTCTGTACTCAAGGTCGGTTGATAACCTACAGCAGAAGGCATTCTGCCCAGTAAGGCGGATACTTCTGATCCCGCTTGGACGAAACGAAATATATTGTCAATAAATAGAAGTACATCTTGCCCATTAACATCTCGGAAATATTCCGCCATAGTTAGGGCAGTCAAACCAACTCTCATACGAGCTCCTGGTGGTTCATTCATCTGACCGTAAACTAGGGCCACTTTGGATTCTGCAATATTTTGGTCATTAATTACTCCGGATTCTTTCATTTCCACGTAAAGATCATTTCCTTCGCGAGTACGTTCACCCACTCCGCCAAATACGGATACTCCTCCGTGCGCTTTGGCAATATTGTTAATTAATTCCATAATGAGTACTGTTTTACCCACTCCAGCTCCCCCGAAGAGTCCTATTTTTCCTCCACAGCGATAGGGGGCTAAAAGATCTACTACTTTAATTCCTGTTTCAAAAATAGATAATTTTGTATCTAACTCTATAAAGGCGGGCGCAGATCTATGAATAGGAGATTTTTTATTAGTATTGACAGGCCCTAAATTATCAACAGGGTGTCCGAGCACGTTGAAAATTCGTCCCAGAGTTGATCCACCGACCGGGACACTTATAGGAGCTCCCGTATCAATCACTTCCATCCCTCTCATTAGACCATCTGTATCACTCATAGCTACAGCTCGAACTCTATTATTTCCCAATAATTGTTGAACCTCACAAGTCACGTTCGTTTGTTTACTGTCTCGCCCTTGAACTACTAGAGCATTATAAATATAAGGCATCTTACCAGGGCGAAAAGCTACATCTAGTACCGGACCAATTATTTGGACGATATGCCCTATATTTTTTTTTTCAATTGAGGAAACCTCAGAACCAGAAGTCGTAGGAGTGCTTCCCATAAAAAAAAAATTTAAAAAACTTTTCAAATTACAAATCACTGCCCGCAAGCGGAAGATTAATTCAATAAATGTAATAAGAAAAAAGGGGGGATTTTCTTGGTATTTTTTTATATTATCCAGTATCCAATAAATTAAAATTTAATAAATTTAATTTTTGTTGAATTAAGGAACTGAAATAGTTAAATTATTTTAAAGTGGAGGAATAAAAATATTGGGAAAGTATTTCAAAAGTATTTCATTAGAATTTGTTATTTCTATCCCATTAGTTTTTTTGATTTTTTTATTAGGTTAGAGAGGTAGTGTAAAAAAAGTGAAATTGAAAAACTGGGTTGCACTAGATATACAAAAGAGTATAAAATATTGATGCATTTGAAAAATTACTCAAATGCTTTGAGTTTAAAAATAAAAAATTATGATTTAGTTGATAATAGATAATATTGAGTACTCGGGAGGAATTTTGTGAACGATTCCGACCAAAAGCAAAATTAACGCAGAATTTAGGTCGAGTAGATCATTTTGTTGTCAGAATTATTAATTTATGAGTTATAAGGAGGAATATATGTCACCACAAACAGAGACTAAAGCACGTGTTGGATTCAAAGCGGGTGTTAAAGATTACAAATTGACTTATTATACTCCTCATTACGAAACCAAAGATACTGATATCTTGGCAGCATTTCGAGTCACTCCTCAGCCTGGAGTTCCCCCTGAAGAAGCGGGGGCCGCGGTAGCTGCGGAATCTTCTACTGGAACATGGACAACCGTGTGGACCGATGGACTTACCAGCCTTGATCGGTACAAGGGCCGATGCTATCGCATTGAGCGTGTTATTGGAGAAAAAGATCAATATATTGCTTATGTAGCTTACCCTTTAGACCTTTTTGAAGAAGGTTCTGTTACGAACATGTTTACTTCGATTGTAGGTAATGTATTTGGTTTTAAAGCACTCCGCGCTTTACGTCTCGAAGATCTTCGAATACCTCCAGCTTATACTAAAACTTTTCAAGGTCCGCCTCACGGCATCCAAGTTGAGAGAGATAAATTGAACAAGTATGGGCGTCCTCTCCTGGGATGTACTATTAAACCCAAATTGGGGTTATCCGCTAAAAACTACGGTCGAGCGGTTTATGAATGTCTTCGTGGTGGACTTGATTTTACCAAAGATGATGAGAATGTAAACTCACAACCCTTTATGCGTTGGAGAGACCGTTTCTTATTTTGTGCCGAAGCAATTTATAAATCCCAGGCTGAGACAGGTGAAATAAAAGGACATTACTTGAATGCTACTGCAGGTACATGCGAAGAAATGCTAAAAAGAGCTTTCTTTGCTAAAGAATTGGGAGTTCCTATTATAATGCATGACTACTTAACAGGGGGATTCACTGCAAATACTTCTTTGGCTCATTATTGCCGTGATAATGGTCTCCTTCTTCACATCCACCGTGCAATGCATGCAGTTATTGATAGACAAAAAACTCATGGTATACACTTCCGCGTACTAGCGAAAGCGTTACGGCTATCCGGTGGAGATCATATTCACGCGGGTACTGTAGTAGGTAAACTAGAAGGGGAAAGAGAGATGACTTTGGGCTTTGTTGACTTATTACGCGATGATTTTGTTGAACAAGACCGAAGTCGTGGTATTTATTTCACTCAAGATTGGGTTTCTTTACCCGGTGTTATGCCTGTGGCTTCTGGGGGTATTCACGTTTGGCATATGCCTGCTCTAACCGAGATATTTGGGGATGATTCCGTACTACAGTTTGGGGGAGGAACTTTAGGTCACCCTTGGGGTAATGCGCCTGGTGCCGTAGCGAATCGAGTCGCTCTCGAAGCATGTGTACAAGCTCGTAACGAAGGACATGATCTTGCTCAGGAAGGCAATGAAATTCTTCGACAGGCTAGTAAATGGAGCCCTGAACTAGCTGCTGCTTGTGAGGTATGGAAGGAGATTCAATTTGACTTTAAACCAGTGGATACCTTAGATCCAAATGAGAAGAAAGAAAGATATACTAAGGAGGCTCCTGCAGGAGATAAATACAGATAACTTATTCGGGAATGGGTAGAGGGAATTCAAGCAATTACTAACCCCCTTCTCTTCTGAATTGCAATTAAATTCGGCCCAATCTTTTACTAAAATCACTCAAATACTAAAAAAAGTAAACAGATTGAGCCGGATATCTATACATATTAATGAACTTCTTATTTATATTTGGGTATAGGTAGGCAAGAACAAATAGTTAAATTTGGTAATTGGGGTAGAGTTATATAAAAGGCAATTCCATTTTTGGATACTCATACCCATTATTTTAGGCAATAGCCTTAATGCTTGGGTTTCTCTTTTTATTCTGATAGTTGTTCAAAAAGAACTTGTGTTTTTTTATTTTGAGTTTAGGAATATTTTATATCAAACGACTATTCCATGTATTGCTATTTTATTTTCTATTGTATTTTCATGCATTGTATTTTCATGCAAAAAACAAGGGGCAAAAATTATGGAAATGTGGGGGGATAATTCATTGGATAAGAAATTTGAACGTGGATGGGGGCTAACTCAATCAATGGATGGTGTTAGCCGTCCTATTGAAGAAAATAGCAGGCAAAATGAAGATACGAAGAAGCAAGATATGTTTGAAAACATTCAGACTTGGGAGGATCGTGACAATTACGGTTGCAGTAATGTTGATTCTGTCTTCGAGTTAAACTATAGTGAAAGTGTCATCAAAGATGACACTTTTCTAGTTAGCGATAGTACTGGAAATAATTATTGCATCTATTTTAATATTGAAAATTATATTTTTGAAACAAAAAATCCTCACTCTTTCTTTAGTGAACCTTTTTATCTTTCTTCGAATTCAAGCAATCTCACTCAAATGAATGAAGTGAGTAACGAATCTAACTCTCAGATTGAGATTGCTCAGTCCGTTGAAAATTCTATTAAGTTGCAAATAGAGCGAACTACTATCACTACTAATGAAAATGATAGTACTGACAGTTTCAGTAATGAGTCCGTTGTTGATGGTGAAAGCTGCAATAGGAGCGAAGTCGAGAGTTCAAGTAGACAAACTCACATTGGGAGAGAATATCCTAAATTTAACCATTTGTGGCTTCTATGCGAAAATTGTGATACATTATATTATAAAAAACTTATTAAATTAAAACAGTATATTTGTGAAGAATGTGGAGATTATTTGCAACTGAGTAGTTCAGATAGAATTGATTTTTTGATCGATGAGAAAACGTGGGCTCCTTTCGATGAAGACATTCTTTCTCGGGACCCCATTCAATTTGATGAAGACTCTTCTGAAGAATCATCGGAATACCCTTATGAAGACTTTTCAGAAGACTCTTCTGAAGAATCGTTGGAATACCCTTATGAAGACTTTTCAGAAGACTCTTCTGAAGAATCGTCGGAATACCCTTATAAAGACCCTTCTAAATACTTTTATCAAGTATTTTCTAATTATGAAAACTCTTATGAAGAGGATCTTGATTTTTATCAAATAGAAACAGGCTTAACCGAAGCTGTTCAAACAGGTCTAGGCCAAGTCAACGGTATTACTGTAGCAATAGGGGTTATGGATTTTAAGTTTATGGGGGGTAGTATGGGATCCGTAGTCGGAGAGAAAATAACCCGTTTAATTGAGTACGCTACAGAAAATTTTTTGCCTCTGATTATGTGTCGGCGTCCGGGGGTGCGCGAATGCAAGAAGGAAGTTTAAGTTTGATGCAAATGGCTAAAATATCATCTGCTTTATACAATTATCAATCGAAGAAAAGATTATTTTATATATCAATCCTTACATCTCCTACAGCTGGTGGAGTAACAGCGAGTTTCGGTATGTTAGGGGATATTATCATTGTTGAACCTAATGCTTACATTGCATTTGCAGGCAAAAGAGTAATTGAACAAACATTAAATCAAACCATACCTGACGAGGCACAAGAAGCTGAATTTTTATTTGAGAAGGGTTCATTTGACTTAATTGTACCACGTCATCTTCTAAAAAGCGTTATTAGTGAGTTATTTACGTTTCATGACCGGGGCACTTTCTTTCATTCAAAGTTCAAATTCATTTGAACTTTGAGTGAAAGAAAATAATTATATTGATTTTAGATTGATATAAATAGTTAGATAAAAACTCACAGATACAAATAAATATAGTAAAAAAAATACCTTTTCTATGAGTGACTTTCCGTCTCTTTTTATACCATTAGTAGGCTTAGTATTGCCGGCAATTGCAACGTTTTATTTATTTATTACTGTTCAAGAAAAATAAAAATTTTTAGATATTTTATATATTGAGATCCTCCCTTTTTTGTAAGTTGCTTTTTTTTGTATCATAACAGGAAGATCTGTGGAATCATATTGACTTAAGGCGTTATTTTTTTCTATCTAACCAAGTTTATGAATTACCCCTAAAGGTTTACATCAAACTAGTGCTAGATTCTCATCAAACAAATATTCGTTTGATGAGAATTACTTTTGAAATAGCAAAGTTCCTAATTAATGGTTTTTTTCTTAATTCCAATAAAATAAAATAAAATCGGATGTAATATGAGTTGGCAATCAAAACATATATGGATCGAACTTAGACCTGGGTCTAGAAAAATAAGTAATTTAGGTTGGGCTTTTACTCTTTTTTTAGGTTCATTGGGATTCTTATTAGTAGGAACTTCCAGTTATCTTGGTATAAATTGGATATCCTTTTTTTCAGCCCAGCAAATTCTTTTTTTCCCACAAGGAATAGTCATGTCATTCTACGGAATTGCGGGTCTTTTTATTAGCTCGTATTTGTGGTGTACTATTTTATGGAATGTTGGTAGTGGTTATGATCAATTCGATAGAAAAAGGGGAATTTTTTGTATTTTTCGTTGGGGATTCCCTGGAATAAATCGGCGCATTTTCCTCCGATTCAATATAAAAGATATAAGGTCTATTCGAATAGAAGTGAAAGAAGGTATTTATGCTCGTCGTGTCCTTTATATGGACATCCGAGGCCAGAGGGCTATTCCTTTGACTCGTACTAATGAGAATTTCACCCCGGGAGAAATTGAAAAAAAAGCTTCAGAATTGGCCTATTTTTTGCGTGTACCGATTGAAGTATTTTGAGAAGGGGGCTACACCTCTTTTCAGTTACTTTTTTTCTATTTTTATATATTTTCTATTTATTTTTCCAATTGCATTTTTTACTAAGACTCAGGAATACTAATTAGCCAATTGACCAGGCAGTTTTTTATTAGCACAAGCAAATCCCCTAGGAAGTTTAAGTATTCTATTGCTTACTATTTCATTCTAAATATTTAAATATCTAAACATTCAGTAATTTTTTTCTTTTTATTTTAATTGAAAGATTTGTATCGGATATCTGAATTTCATCTGTATTCTTTCTAGATTCAAAGACTGGCCAAAAAATCACAACAAAAATCAATACATACTTTAATATACCTTATACCTTGTAAAAGTAAAAACTCATATATGGTGGGTTCATGAAAAATAAAAATAAAGTATTCACTCCTCTTTTATATCTTGCATTTGTAGTCTTTTTGCCCTGGTGGATTTATTTCTTATTGAATAAATGTCTGGGATCTTGGATTACTAATTGGTGGACTACTAGGCAATCCGAAAGTTTCTTCAATAATATTAATGAAAAGAGTCTTCTGGAAAAATTTATTGAATTCGAGGAATTTCTATTATTGGACGAAATAGTTAAAAAAGACGTGGAGACACACCCACAAGAATTTATTATAGGAATCCATAAACAAGCAATTCAATTAATAAAGATACAAAAATATAGTGATATCCATCTTATTTTTCGTTTAGCGACAAATCTAATCTGTTTTTTTTATTCTAAGTGTTTCTGCTATTTTGCGTAATGAAAACCTAAGTCTTCTGAACTCTTGGGCTCGGGAATTCTTATATAACTTAAGCGACACAATCAAAGTATTTTGCATTCTCTTATTAACTGATTTATGTATCGGATTCCATTCACCCCGCGGTTGGGAATTTATAATTACCTTTATTTCTAAAGATTTGGGATTTTGTGATAATGATTTAATTATCTCTGGTCTTGTTTGCACCTTTCCAGTCATTCTAGATACAATTTTTAAATATTGGGTTTTCCGTTATTTAAATCGTGTTTCTCCGTCACTTGTAGTTCTTTATCATTCATTGAATGAATGATTGAAGACTCTATGGGATTCATAATTCAATTTGAAGATTAATTTTTTTCGTTTTTCTATTGTAAATAAGCGAAGCATTAAAAATATTACTTCATTACTTATTTTATAGAACTATTTTTTTTATATTTTATTCCATCAAATAGCAGAATCCTGGGTAGCAAACTATACTAGTGACCTACCCCATTTTATTGTATCAATTTTGCAATCAACGATTCGACTATGCAAACTCGAAATCATTTTCTTTGGATAAATAAACAGATTACTCGATTGATTTCCGCATTGATCATGTTATATATCATAACTCTGACATCCATTTCAAATGCATATCCTATTTTTGCACAGCAGAGTTATGAAAATCCACGAGAAGTAACTGGCCGTATTGTATGTGCCAATTGCCATTTAGCTAATAAGCCCGTGGAGGTTGAGGTACCGCAAGCGGTACTTCCAGATACTGTATTTGAAGCAGTAGTGCAAATTCCTTATGATATGCAACTTAAACAAGTTCTTTCCAATGGTAAAAAAGGGGGGTTGAATGTGGGGGCTGTTCTTATTTTACCGGATGGTTTTGAATTAGCCCCTACAGATCGGCTTTCTCCCGAGATGAAAGAAAAAATAGGCAATTTGTCTTTTCAGAGCTATAGACCCTCGAAAAAAAATATTGTTGTGGTGGGCCCTGTTCCTGGTCAGAAATATAGTAAAATAACCTTTCCCATTCTATCTCCCGATCCTGCTACTAATAAAGATGCTCATTTCTTAAAATATCCTATATATGTGGGTGGAAACAGGGGAAGAGGCCAAATTTATCCCGACGGTAGCAAGAGTAACAATACTGTTTATAATGCTACAGCAACAGGTAGAGTTAGCAAAATAATAAGAAAAGAAAAAGGGGGTTATGAGCTAACCATAACGGATCCATTGGATAGTCGTCAAGTGATCTATATTATCCCTCCTGGACCAGAACTTCTTGTTTCAGAAGGGGAAGATATCAAATTTGATCAACCATTAACGAATAATCCTAATGTGGGGGGATTCGGTCAGGGAGACGCGGAAATAGTACTTCAAGATCCATTACGTGTCCAAGGACTTTTGTTATTTTTGGCGTCTGTTCTTGTGGCACAAATATTTTTGGTTCTGAAAAAAAAACAGTTTGAAAAAGTTCAATTGTCCGAAATGAATTTATAGACTTGTAGCATTAGCAATCTAAAAAGAGACGATTCAGTGTTATCCATAATAGACGATTCAGTGTTATCCATAATATATAATTAAATTAAAGTCAAATTCTCAAAAACCTTTAATATCTTTATACTATTATACTATATTTGCCAAATTTTATACTAACTGCTGGGAATTTCCGGTCATAGATCATAGTATGTCTATTTTTACTTTTATATTTTAAAGAAGATTTTTGGCATAACTCTCTATTTCATAGTTTTCTATTTCAAATTAAAGTAAAAATTAAAGTAAATTAGAATAGATTTTGCGTCTTCCTCTTTTTACTTTATCAATACAGGAAAAAAGAGAAAGTAAGGGGAGGAGGTATATATAATATTGGTTCAAGATTTAGAGTATTGGTTTCTAGTTTTGAGGCGTATTTTTATACCTCATTTTGAAAATGAAGAAAAAAGATTTTATATATTCTATTATTATAATTATATAATATATAATAATAGAATATATAAAATGAAATGATCGAACTTAAGATCTATATTTTTTATAGCAGCCTAGCACTTTATTCTTTGTACTTAAAGTACTCAAATGAAAATATCAATCTATACGGTAATAGAGACCAGGCCTTCTGAATAAATCACTGAGATTTATAGAAAAAAACTTTTTTTATTTTGTGAATAAAAGAGTCTTCAGAACTCAACGTGATTTAAAAGCAAATCACGTTGAGTTCTGAAGACTCTTTTATACCTCGAACTTAATTGATCCGATTACTACAGGGATGAACCCAATCCAGAATATGAACCATAAAAGAAAATACCTATTAAACCTATTACAACAATACCTGTTAGAGTACCTATTATCCAAAGAGGAATCCTTCCAGTAGTATGGGTCATTGATCCCACTTACCCCTCACACTTCATAACGTGGTCATGCTAGAGACATAAACAGTCATGGATAATTATAATATGAGATCCTTCCGATTGGGCTAAGAGAATGCCTATCGCTTTGAGGTATTCTCTTTTATTAATCCTAATTGAAGAAATAATTTGAAAATAAAACAGCAAGTACAAAAATAAGTAATAATCCCCAGTACAGACTGGTACGATTTAATTCAACGTTTTGCTCGTTTGGATTTGATTGTGTCATAGCTCTATAATTCGGAGTAATTTGATCATTCAATTTATCGTTGAATAAACTGCATTGCGGAAATTGAGCCCAAAAAAAAGACAGTAGGTACAGCGAGGCCATGAACAGCTAACCATCGTACTGTAAAAATTGGATAGGTTCGATCTATAGTCATTGGGACCTCCTACGAAAACGATCTAGGAAATTAATAGAGTTGTTCCAAAGGATCAAAACGGCCAGTTATTAATGGAATTCCTTGCCGGTTCTCTGTAAAGTACTCGTTTGGCCGTGGACTTCCAAACACATCGTAAGCTAAACCGGTGCTGACGAATAACCAGCCCGCAATGAATAGAGAGGGTATAGTAATGCTATGAATGACCCAATATCGAATACTAGTAATAATATCAGCAAAGGAGCGTTCTCCTGTGTTTCCAGACATATTGAACTCCGCATATTCTTGTACATTTTAAAAGTGCCGATTCCTTAATAGCATC